GGATGATCATACTTAGTAGATTATAAGCTTTGTAACGATACCTTACAAGAGACCTTTTGCATGAAGCATATCCCAGTTACGTTATACTCACTTATTACCATATTTTTTCTAAAACTATCCCAGTTACATTATATTCACTTATTATCATGTTTTTATAAAACCATATAGACTGCACAACGTCACAGGTATAACAATATCCCAAAGCATCTTTGGGAGCTACAGTAATTAGTTAGTCTGTAAAAAGCACTGAAAATTCCTGCTCAGGCCAGGTTAGGGTAACCAGACAGCAAATGTGAAAAATTGGGACAGGGGGTGTAGGGTAATAGGCACCTATATAAGACAAAGCCCCAAATATCGGGACTATCCCTATAAAATCGGGACATCTGGTCACCCTAGGCTAGGGCATGCTTAGCTCAGGAGATTTTCTCAAATCACGGGCCAAGACAACACCATATGTACTGCAGCTTCAGAGCACACATACAAACACCTTTGGAATTAAGAGGAAAATATCCACCTTACAGCAGATCCTTGAATCAAGAGACTCCCCCCTCCCCCTTTCATGATCAAATTTGTTTAGGCAGGATCCACGCTGACCTAATAGTAACCTGTATATTGTACAAGATGCTGGCAGCATCGAGTTCTGATTAGGTCTGACTTTGCTCTTCTTCAAATATAAAAAAAAACCACAATGTGTGTGTGTGCATATACCCCACCACACACAAATACCACACATTGCTGGGGAAAACTGCTCCAGATTTTCAGTGATTTTTCCACCCCCCTGCATGCAACAGAATTTCTTTGGCAGTGGGAACCTATTCTATTTGCCATTACGTTATCTACCAGTGCATGTTGTATAGACGTGTTTCTTTAAAGAGGGCATGAGCACCACTTAAAACCTCTTGATCTTAAAAATTAAAAAATAGCAAAGACTCTGAACACATTTTGAATCCAGCGAGAGACTTCCATTGTGCTCCTTACAGAGCTATGAACTTAGCATGTGCAAACTGTACACATTATATATTAGAATTAGAAAAAAAAATCACCCTGTTTCCTGCCCAGCATAGAATTCATCTGTTCTTGAGGTCAGAGTCAAATATCCCGGAGGGCTTTTAAAAGGGAGAATATTTATGACTCAGGACAACTCTCATAACTATGCCCCCAAAGGAAAAACATGATTCCAAACACCCCTGATGTTAGGGAGTAGGGTGTTCAAATTATATTGCTCAGGCTGTCTCCAGACAATTTGCATGCCAAGATACATGTAGACAGCTCTCATGCTCCAGACTAGAAGATTGACACAGGGGTTAGGAAAGAATTATTCCCCTTCACACCCACATGGGAATCCCTGGGCAATTGATCATGGGCCCGATCCAACTCCATTGGAGTCAGTGGGAATCTTTCCACTTACTGCAGTGGGCTTTGGCTTAGTTTGGGTGCGCATGTGGGAAGAGAAAGTGTGTGTGTGTTTGTTTAGCCTTCCTGCATGGCTGCTGCTGGAGACAGAAATTTGACTCAAAGGCATGATAGTTTCATCTGTTATGGTAAATCCTCAGAAGCGTGGAGCTACTTTTAAAACAAGAGACTAATGGCTCCAATCTGTCTCCTCCTCTAGGACCCTGAGGAAACAGTCTCCTTTCCTTGTAATCTCAACTGCTCTGGGAAACTGGGAACAATACATTAGGGAAGCTAGGAATGATACAGTATAAATTAGACTCACCGCTCACACTCCTTCAGATAGCGCTAGCAGTCTGTTCTTTGCTGTGCCCCCAAGCGGAATGGGGACTGTCTCTTGCTGTGTGTTAGCTTCTTTGCAGGCTGACATTCCCAGCTGAAAGGCAAAACCCCACACTGAACTACGCTGACATTCCCTCACCCAGCCCAGGTCTGCTTAACCTGGGAAAAGACAGCAGCTTCCAGGAGTTTCAGGCAAACTGTACCAGGGAAGCAAAGCACCACTCCCTACTACTAGGCAGAGGCAAGCCCAGCTGGGGCTAATTGAGAGACACAGGTGAGTAATCAGCAGTGGCTAACAAGTAGCAGAACTCACAAAGCACAGTAGCCTGCTACAGGCTTTCAAAAGCAGTTAGGGCCAGAGATTTTCAAAGGCATTTAGACTCTTAACTTCTGTTGAAATCCCTAATGTTTTGGGGAACCTGAGCTGAGACACCTTAAGGGGGCCTGACTCGCAGGCAGTCCTCTGAAAATCAGCCCCCCTTTTAAGCGTTAACACTCCACATTACTAGTCAGATTTGGTCCTGAGAATGAAGCTGCTCCATCTCCTCAGAAAACAGGTTAGGGTAGGGCACTGTTCTAAGACAGAGGGGAGAGAATTTATTTGAGACTGTACAGTTCTTTGTGGTTTTGTTTCCCATGCTCTTGTTTGAGTACAGGAAGCGTATACAATTTCTAATGCACTCCCCACAAAGTCCCCACCTATTGGCCTCAATGCTCAGTGCAGAGATGAAATGCCTGAGGAAAACCCTGAGTTACAATCAGAGCTGAGCAAGTTTAAATCTCGTGCTAAGTTTAGGGCTGGGCCTACAGCCTATCTTTGATAGCCTTTTCTTGTAGATGAGGACAGCTTGCAATTGTGCTGTCTTGTGTTGTAGGGGGAACGGCTGTGACGGTTTTGTTTAATATCTTTATTAATGATCTGGAGGATGGTGTGGACTGCACTCTCAGCAAGTTTGCCGATGACACTAAACTAGGAGGCGTGGTAGATACACTAGAGGGTAGGGATCGGATACAGAGGGACCTAGACAAATTAGAGGATTGGGCCAAAAGAAACCTGATGAGGTTCAACAAGGACAAGTGCAGAGTCCTGCACCTAGGACGGAAGAATCCTATGCACTGCTACAGAATAGGGACCGAGTGGCAAGGCAGCAGTTCTGCAGAAAAGGACCTAGGGGTCACAGTGGACGAGAAGCTGGATATGAGTCAACAGTGTGCTCTTGTTGCCAAGAAGGCTAATGGCATTTTGGGCTGTATAAGTAGGGGCATTGCCAGCAGATCGAGGGACGTGATCGTTCCCCTTTATTCGACATTGGTGAGGCCTCATCTGGAGTACTGTGTCCAGTTTTGGGCCCCACACTACAAGAAGGATGTGGAAAAATTGGAAAGAGTCCAGCGGAGGGCAACAAAAATGATTAGGGGTCTGGAGCGCATGACTTATGAGGAGAGGCTGAGGGAACTGGGATTGTTTAATCTCCAGAAGAGAAGAATGAGGGGGGATTTGATAGCAGCCTTCAACTACCTGAAGGGGGGTTCCAAAGAGGATGGAACTCGGCTGTTCTCAATGGTGGCAGATGACAGAACAAGGAGCAATGGTCTCAAGTTGCAGTGGGGGAGGTCTAGGTTGGATATTAGGAAACACTATTTCACTAGGAGGGTGGTGAAGCACTGGAATGCGTTACCTAGGGAGGTGGTGGAGTCTCCTTCCTTGGAGGTTTTTAAGGCCCGGCTTGACAAAGCCCTGTCTGGGATGATTTAGTTGGGAATTGGTCCTGCTTTGAGCAGGGGGTTGGACTAGATGACCTCCTGAGGTCCCTTCCAACCCTGATATTCTATGATTCTATGACTTTCTGCTGTCTTTCACCTGACAAGCCCCAGAAATAAGGCTCCTTGCTCTGATCTGAAGAGCAAGACACTGCAAGCAGAGTGAGTCTCCTCCCATTTCCTTGCAGTAGTTAGGGTCAGGTATGTTAGATCCAACAGCAAAAACTGGCCTAAGCCTGCAGTGTTAAATATGCTGAAGGAAGCTGGGGGTAGGCCATAGAAGACCAGCCAGAGCCCACATTTTCAGGGATGGCTACTTATTTTGGATGCCCAATTTTTGAGTCCCCACGTGAGACATCTAAGGCCTGATTTTCTGCAGATTTCAGTGGGATCCTCAGCACCTCAGAAAATCAGGGTTTTGGTGGCTCAGGTTGGGAAGGGAACCCCAAAACAGAGGACTCAGAAGGAGGGGCTGTCAGATTCCAGTATATTGGGTGCTATTTGTTAAGCAATGGCAGGGTGTGTGTGAGTGTGTACTCAGCACTGTACAGGATACAACATAGAGGCAATTCCTATCCTAAAGAGTTTGCAGTATGAAAGGCTGCCCGTATTGAATAGAAGTTGCACTGGAAAAGCTGGCGGAGCTTTTAATTCATTGTAGTGGACATTGTGGCAAAAGTGAGTCTTTAGGAGGATACGAATGGATAGGTGGGTTGGAAAACTGGTTCTGGCAGGTAGTCTGCAATGAGGTGCAGCGCACAACCTGGCACATTACACCCTGCAGCATTACATCCTGCTGAATGGTTCAGGAAACGTTTGCATGTTCCCAGCAAATTCAATGCTGGCAACAAGACAGATGGAGAGACAGATTTGGCAAAGAATGTTGTGGCTTGTCAATTTGCAAGCTCCCATTCGCACACCGTGTGCAAGGAGGGCCCCTATTCAGCAAAATACTTCGGCACATTGCTTAAGTCTCATTTGGGTATGTCTACAGTGCAAACGGAGGTGCTATTATAGCACACCCATGCTAACTTTAATCTAGAGTAGACATGGTTGGGCATGGGCTTTAGTACAGGTTAGCTGCCTGAATACAAGCCCGCCAGGGACCTTGGGTACGTACTTGGGTTGCTGGCCCATGCTGAAGTCTGTACTATCATGTCTATACTACCATTGTTACCCACGCTAGCTCGATTAAAGGCAAGCCCACCTCCATTTGCAGTGTAGACATACTCATTGAGGTCAACAGGACTCAAGCACATCCTTAAATTTACGCCTGTGCTTACATGGTTTGCTGAATCGGGGCCTTTGTCATGCCACTTATGCATCCATCTTCATCAATCTCCCTTCATGCCCTCCATGGAAGGAACTATTCTATTAGAAACCCACAACAGCAGAACACCGGTATGCCACACGATGAAAGGGAAGTTTTACATGGAGCAGGTTCTCCTGCTTTTCTCCTAGTGCATTCGCCTTTGTCTAGTAAACACAACATACAGAAACAGGCATGAATTAGTGTAGTTCTTTAATAATAACCTCAAGATCAGCAAGGGTAATGACTGAATTTAACAAATGACACATGCAACAAACACAGGGAGTAGAACATCATCATTTAAACCTGGCTTAACTGTCTTCTTCCAACCAGTCCTGGGATATCAACACTGAAGTCAATATCAAAAAATAAAGCATGTTTCCTTTCCACTGCTGCATCATTCCCAGCTATTAGCAATATTCTTGACTCAAACACTGCTAGAGTTCTCAAAGAAACTAGACAGCCCCCTCCCCTCCCTTCCAACTCCCCATCATCTAAATGATGACAGAACATGTTTTGACACGACATGGAGTATCTGGAGAATTTGGAAGATCACAAGGCTAATTTGAACAAAGGCTTCAAATTACAGCCAGCAGCAGCTTGTAACTTTTCAGCATTTTGAAATGTTCTTAATCCTCGTCAAATGCTACTGCAGATTTCTTTCAGGCTGTTGGACACAGATTGATGTAGAGCATTGAATATAAAAAATGTACATGAATAAAGAATAATATAAGTCCCAGGCCTGAGTGTCCTATTCAGAGCAAATCACTCAGAGCTGTTCATTGCTATCAAGACCAATTCTATTACTTCTATATTTCTGCATGTGCAAGTGGTAAAAACAATACAAAAAATGAAACCCTAATTCCTGTTGAAACTGCAGAGCAGATGTTTCACCGTTTAGCTCCTTCCTTTTGTTCTGTAATGAACATTTGCCTTCAAATGGCTAGTTTGGAATGACAGCTTTGTAATATGTACAACAGGAAAGTTCTATCGGGAGGGGATACATAGGGTACCATATGTCTGTATACAGTACACCAGTTCATTCAACCTCGTTTGCATAGCATTAATTGTCACTGGAAGGCGATGTGAAATTATGGCCAACATTGTCAAACCTGGTTGCCTAAAGTTTCATAAGCCTTGTCAACACTACTAAGTTAGGCTGACCCACCTATATCGCTCAGGGGTGTAGAAAATCAACACCCTTGAGCAATGTAGTTAAATCAACCTAACCCCAGTGCAGACAGAGGTAGGTGGACAGAAGAATTCTTCCATCAACCTAGCTACTTCCTCTCTGGGAGTTGGATTACTTATACTGATGGGACAACCCCTCCCATCAGCGTTAGTAGTGCCACTGTAGCATTTCGAGTGTAGACAAGTTCATAGATTCCAAGGCCATAAAGGACCACTGTGATCATCTAGTCTGACCTCCTGTATCGCACAAGCCAGAAAACTTCCCCAAAATAGTTCCTACAGCAGATTTTTTACAGAAACATCCAACCTTGATTTAAAAATGGCCAATGATGGAGAATCCACCTTAATCCTGGTTCAATTGTTCCGCTGGTTAATTACCCTCCCTGTTAATTACTCTCATCATTATGAATTCCCACCTTATTGTCAGTCTGAATTTCTCCAGCTTCCCCTTCCAGCCACCTTTCTCTGCTAGGCCCCTAACTCCATAGTTAGGCACCTCAACAAAAGGAGTCCGGTTTCTTTTTTTTTTTCAAAAGTGCCCTGCACTTGTGACTCCCCTGGATTTCAGTGAGGTTGGTGGGGGCTCAGCACCTTGGAAACTCAGCTCACTTCTGCCAAGGTACCCAAATATGAACGTAGGAGCCTAACTTTAAGCACGCAAGTTTGATGGGTTTTGGGCCCAACCCTCAGCTGACCTCAATCACCATAGTCCCACTCAGTTGAAGATATGTCCTTTTGGTCTTAATTTCCATTCAGATTCTGGCTTTGGCAAAGGTGGCTTTGCTCCCTTCCCTCTTCCCAATCTCTCCACCTGCTGCACCTTAGGTATTTCCTTTTCTCTCTTCATATTAATGCAATACAATGAAATTTAGAGATGAGTGCAGCTACCCGCCTGGTTCCCTAGGACCTGATCTTTCATAAATTCACAGGTTCTAAGGTCAGAAGGGGACCTTTCCAATCATCTAGTCTGACCTCCTGCCTAAAACAGGCAGCAGAATTTCACTTGGTCACTTCTGCATCAAGCCCATCATTTCTGGTTGAGCTAAAGCATAACTTTAAGAACGACATCCCATCTTCTAGTGATGGAGAATCCATCATATGCCCAAGTAAACTGTTCTAATGGTTAATTACCCTCACTGTTAAAAATGTGTGCCTTATTTCTAGTCTGAATTTGTCTAGCCTCAGTTTCCTGCCACTGGATTTTGTTACGCTTTTGTCTGCCAGATTATGTTTCGTGTACTACATGCTGGTTAATACATAAAAGGACTCCATGCTTGTAAACCTAAACTGGCCCTTTATTAAGAGAACTATTTACAGAGATGCTGAAACTGCAGCTAGCATTCCAGCCACGTGCACACAGGCTGACTTCCTGAAGCCTTCTCTGAACGCTTCCCTCCTCCAATCTGTGCTCCTGCCTCCAAGTTTCATGCAGGTTGCTACAGATTAAAGACCCATCTGCTATCAGAAATCTTCTCCTCTTTGGGAAAATTCATTTTAGAGCTTTAGGACCATCTCTTCGGAAACTTAGGGCCACACATTTGCAGGAGCACGTCTGCAAAGAACCGTGCACCTAGATGTTTTGCACCTGCTGAAAGCCTTTTCAGAACACACAAATGGGCCTCTGCATACATGCACAAAGGTTGGTGTTTGTGCCGTGTCCCTTTCAATTTAGTACATGCACCTACTGCAGCCCCAGAAAATGTGGCCGTGGTCCTGTGCCTGTTGAAGTCAATTGCAGAACTCCCATTGACTTCAGTGGCACCAGGCTCCAAACCTGCATAATTGTACACCCATAGGTTGATTTTAAATACGATACTGGAGGTAAATTCTGCTAGCCAACATCTGCTCTGGTTTTGCTGAGTACATTTTACATGGTCAGGGTCTACTGAAAACAAGTAACTTAGATTACCCGTGGGCACTCTGATTCTATGTCCAGTTAATAACCTGCATGTACAATGTCTAGTAAATAACTGGTCAATAACCAGTTAATGATTCTGTGTTCAGTTAATAAAAAATAGGCATTTGCTTATCACTAGGTGTTTCTATACACACCCACTGCAGTATGGCTACACACTACCCTAGATCCATGTGCATAACTCCCATTCAATGGATCGAGGAGTGTATATAGCCCATCGTCCTTGTAGTTCAATTAATGCTATGTAAAGCAGGTACTCGTCACTACAGGAAATATTTGTACATTTATAAAAAGCAATACAAACATAAAGAACAAAAATACAACAAGCACAGCTTGATACAATAACATGCCATGAAATATCATTGGCTTTATAATAATTTACTACAACTTGAAAAATGTTCTTTTATCCACACTGGATAGGAAATGCTTCCATCTAACATATGGTAAGCATGCAACAACAATATATACAACAACAATTTGGAGTTTGTTTTTACTCATGAGAAGGATTGTAGTACAGGGATACATTACAATTATTTTTTTCTGGCCTGATCGAGCTTTTCTGTTACTCTGTTTAAGTTTGGTTTTTGGGGGGGGGGGGGGGTTGGGGCTTTTTCCTCTTAAATTGTGGTAAAGAATTTTTTATAGGAATCTGCAAACACTACTTTTAGTCTTAGAGTAGTAAACTCATTTATTTTCCCCCAGCAGTTGTTCTGATTTACTGGTTGACACTAAAAAAAGATATTTTTAATGTCATTTGGTTAAAAAATAATTTTCTTTCCAAACTTTTTTGTACCGTTGAGGATCTGTTAAGAGAAATACCTAGCAATCCCGTGGGACGTTATTACACTATTCCCAGTTATTACACTTTCCATCTTCAGCTATTTAACTGGATGGCATCCATCTCAAGGGGAAGTCCAACCAAACCTTTGCAGGGCTTTCCAAGATTTCCAGTCCCACTTGACAATCCTAACGTTGTCTTGTTGAACCGACCGTGGCCAGTACCTGCTACAATCTGAGTACCGTCTAACCCAGTGAATGTCAAAAGTGGGGACTGCTCTGTGCTGCCTGCAGACAAAACAGTTGTGATGGTGGCTACATCGGCCCTTTCACAGAACAGCCCGCACATGGCTGCAGACCTCAGAGACATTGTGATCCCTGTATGAAGTCATTTGTTCCATATGACATAAGACACACTGACCAAAGGGTTGGTGAGTGCCAACTGGGCTGAATCTGAGCCTGATAGAAGGGACTGTTTATAAAGGTTCCTGACAAAAAATATCCCAGTTCGTTCCTTGACTGGGTCTTTATCTTTATATCTGCTCTGTTCCTCTTTCTTGAATAGCCTTTTCCCCTAGAAAAGCAATATTTCCAACAACACTGGAATAACTACTTGGCAAAGCGTATCTGTGGTTGAAAAACCACCTGCTTTACATGAGTATGAAAACCCTTCGATATTCATAGAATTGTAGCTACAAAGATGATTTGTCTTTATGATGTGGCAATTTCCAGGGAGATATTCATGTCATGGGAGCTGATCATAAAAGTAAACTAGGGAGGCAGAGGTTTGACTTTAATCTTGATCTTGTCTATTTCTAGCACTGTGTTACAAAGGCAGGTGCTCAGGAAGTTTACTATAGGTTAAAACGTGTACATACGCAGTATTGTAAACTATGGGGGGAGGGTACCACTGGGAAAAAAATAAAAAGAAGGAGAAAACATGAAGAAATGCAGCCAGTGCATTTCTTCGAAGACTGATTCCCATCTCAGGCAACTTTGTGCATGACTTCGCCTTGGCCAACAACTGATAATGGAAGTGACAAGAGCACGATGTAGCCGCACTGTGTCCCTTTGACAAAGTGTATGGGAGACATCCAATGCTTATTCAGGAAAGGAAAACAAACATCAAAGCAGAGAAGTTGGTAAGGCGGAAGGGGGCAATTTGCAAACAAAAAAGGCAGGGGTGAGATTCTGTGAAACTGATGACAATTACAGGATTTAAGAAGCCTAAGGGGATTGCAGTTAAAAAAAAAACTTAATAGAACCAACCACTCATTCCCACTTCAGCTGTTTCAGAAACCTTCATTTTAAAATGGAAACGGTCACTGAATTACTCTGCTGCACTCATCAGACAGGCACCGTTAGCGAAGCGTAATGTAACGACTCTTCTTTCAACCTTCTCTTCCACAGGCTCCTTTGCTCAGTGGTCTCCGGACCCCTACAGCCTGCTGAGAACATGGAAGGCTGATCTTTCATGAACTCTTCTTCTTCAGGTGTGGGGTTGGAGCCCTCCTGTAGGTTTTCTTTTTCTTTTACATGTAATTCATTTTTCTAGTAGTACTTCAGCCTCATTCACCCACACTTCCACATAACAACGTACACAAATCCATACACCAGACACCTACTCCAACGCCCTCTTGGGAACTAAAGGATGATGGCCCCGTTCAGTCTCCAGAACAAAGTCCATTGGGATGGCTGCTTTTTTTTTTTCAGATTCAAAATCAAAGATCTAACACTCCTCGTTATTTTATCCTGCTGTTCGCAGGCATGTGAGAAATAATCAGCTTTCCATATTAATCTGAAGCACTGCAACAAGAAGAGAACTCACGCAGTTGTGGCAAAGTAGCCCATTGTGATGTCCTCATGGTCTGTAGGAAGCTTTCAGCTGTGGCCTTCACGGTGGAGGATTGCCCTGCAGTCTCTGAATTTTCTAAGAGCTAGTCTAATTTCCAATTTCTTCTAGGATCACTGTGGTAAATCACAGAGGATGGGAGGGCTGAAGTGAACATTAGTGATATATGTTTCTCCAGTGGCCTCATTTTTGCAGCCCCCTGGATTTTCTCTCCTTGCTGGTTTGGCGAGACTGATGCATTATGGGATTATATATAAATAGATAAAAAGACTAATAAGTGGTTTGTTCTATTGTCACCCATTTCAGAATGTAAAGGCTTCCTATAACCCCCCCCCAAAGACAGGTTTGTTACAGTACTGCTGAAAGAGCCCTCTGAATGCTTCTGGAAGAGAGAGGGACAAGGCTGAGCCCCTAGACGGAAGGGCGAGGGGGGGGCCTGGAGGGAGGAGGGGCTCGGTTGGGGGCCGGGGCCTGGGGAGGCGGGGGCAGTGGAGGGAGAGTGGACGATGGGGATGGGGTGGGAGGAGTGGGGGAACTGGGAGGAGGTGGGGTATAGATCGGAGCAGGGGGTGGAGGGTTGTAGATCGGGGCAGGGGGCGGAGAGGAGGGTGGGTGTGCGTGGTTGAGTGGGTATTTCGGCGGTGCCTCAGCATTCTTCACTCGGGTGAAATTGATACAGCGGCCCTAAAAGAGAAACAAAAAGGTTATTGAGCGTGGCGGTGATGTAGGAGCCGAGGGCCATGTTGGTGGGTGCAGTGGTATTCCTACTCACAAATCAACCGTCTACGTTTATTTCTCTGGGTGCACAGTTGGAGTCAAGGCCCCTTTATGGGCCAGATTCTTAACCCAATCCTTGTGTGGCTGCTCTGAGAAACCCAAAAGGATTCACATCTGGAGTGAACCATGCAGTAGCAAATGCAAGTTGACTAATCATGGATGGACCAGCCCTGCATCCGTGACTCCAGCTCGCGTGGTATTGTGAAAGTGCACACAGAACCATCCTTGCAACCACTGCTCACTGATTCTATTGCAGCCAGCATGTGCCTGTAGCCAGCGGCCATAGCATGTAAGGTCCTGTGAAGGGACATGAATAGGGCCCTACTAAATTCATGGTCCATTTTCATAAATTTCATGGTCATAGCATTTTAAAAATCTTGAATTTCATGGTTTCAGATAATTAAATCTTAAATTTCACAGTGTTATAACAAAATATGAATATGTATTTAAAAGTGGCAACATATAAACATGTAAAGCCCTTAAGCCAGCGTTTCTCAAACTGGGGGTCCCAACCCAAAAGGGGGTTGCAAATCTATTGGAAGGGGGGTGATGGAATTGCCACCCTTCCTTCTGCCCTGTCTTCAGAACTGGGCAGCCGGAAAGCAGCAGCTGCTGGCCAGGTGCCCAGCTCTGAAGGCAGTGCCGCCGCCAGCAGCAGCACAGAACTAGGGGTGTACTTTTGTATACTTTTACCTTATAGTATAGAGTAAAATCACAAAAAAGACCAGATTTCATGGTCTGTGACTCGTTTTCCATGGGCGTGAATTTGGTAGGGCCTTAGGCATGAATATGATCAACTCAGTCCACTCATGCAGACGTCTGGCTAACAGTAGTTCATTCTAGCTGTCCAGGTGTGTGCATGACCACTATCACCCTGGGATCTCACTTACCCTCCATGAAAACAGATGCAGCCCTATTAAAATACTACACAGATGTCGCTACAGTTTCATACCAGACATTTGCTTATGAGTTCAGGCATGCTTTCTGCCAACACACCCAAAGGACGGGAAATAATCAGTGCAACTCTTCAACAGTGGACCAATATCTCCAGTAAGAATTCCCCTACAGTGTAATCTAGAGGGAAGACAGCTGTGAGCGACAGCCAGATTCAACTGTCAGATCTTGCTAGAAGTGTATCCACGCCCCGACCACATCTGTACACACAGGTGCTACAGACCGTGGGTGGCAAGCCTCTGAGATTAGATTTGAATTTACAATCGGTGCCATCATGTGATGTAATAGATTTTGCACAACCTCTCTCATTTTAGCAGAGTTAAGGCAAAATTCTCCCCTTCAGAGTTTGTCTTTGGAATATATTCTGCCTACAGATCTGCCACAGGGGACAACGGAACCTACTGACCCTGCTGCAGAATACAAGTGATTCCTGGTCTGAGTACACTGATCCCACGGAGACAAGCCCGGGAGAAGAAATGGGCTGAGAAGTCAAATCATGGATTCAACAATATGGCCAGACTGAGGCACGAGTCAGCCCCCAGAATCAGGAGATAGCTTCAAAATAATGAGAGGGATATATTTGGGGTTTTTTATATTTGCTTTCTGAGCCTTTAGGATACACTTGGGTTACATTTACAAGCTTTTATCTGTAAGCAGGAGGGCTAGAAACCAACTTCTTGAAAAATGAAAGTTGAGATTCTCATGCAATCACCTGACTCCAGCAGCTGGGGCTTTACGAAAAACACCAAATATCACATGACTCATGATAAAATCTCAAGAGCTGGCAACAATGGTTCATGCTTCCCCTTTCCTGCTGCCGTTAGAATTCTGGCTCAGAATTTTACCAGTGTTCCCCCCCTACCTTTGGCTGATACAAAACTCCAGAGCCAAACGCCTTCCCCCCCCCACCCCCTGCTTGAAATCTGGAATCTGCATCTTGCATCTATATCAAATATCACTCATGTCCTGCTTCTAACCATTTACCAACTGGACAGGAGAGGGAGTATTATTTACCAAAGCTAGTTGCTTGTACCGTGTCCTTCCTGAAAGAGACAAACTGTTAAGTAGAATGTCTCCTTAGCCTGCTGCCCATGTGAAGCCAAAAACTGCTTTCTGTAGCTCTGCTATAAAAATGGTGCTAAGTTACAGTTTGTTATGCATTTTAAACAAAACCTTTGCCCTCTAAGCTGTTTAGCTTTTTCTAATAATTTCCACCTGTGAAAGATCCCACAATAAATTCTCTACTGTCGGAATCCAAGTTATTATATTACAGGCTCATTCTTCCAGATATGAACTCATACAAAGAGACACTGGAGGGCTTCTGAGCCCACAGTTTGTTTTCCGTTTAGGGTGTTGGTGTGTGTTGGGATGGGGGAGGTCTGGAAGGTGAGGGGGACTAGGGGTGTTTTGCTTTTCTGTGTTTTTCTCTTTCCTTTTTCAAAGTAAATGTTAGTGCTAGTGAAAAGATGCCAAACAGAACAATGATCCCAGGCAGATGGGAGTGGTTCCAACGCACAGGAATGTGGTAGAATTTAAGGCAACTACATTAGGAGCTCTGAACCCTCTCTGTGCCATGGGGTAGTCTTATTATACCCATTTTACAGACGAGTAAACTGTAGAAGAGGGATTATAAGCAGCTCATCCATACTATCATATCACATTGCTGATAAAGCAAGATTAGAATCCAGGAGTCCTGACTCTCAGTCCCCCACCCTAAACACTAGACACCACTGAATCCCAAAAAACAAATGCAAGCAAGCTACATGGAAGTTTTGCATCAGATGTCCCTCCACTCCAGATGCTTTGCATTTTTAAAATACTAATGGCCTGTTTTTCCAAAGTGCTGAGCATCTGCAACTGGGTCTCATGCTCTGGTGCCCTGCACCTTTTGCAGTCATTTACACAAGGGGTCAGTGGTGGTAAATGCTACCAGATGAGATTGGAGTATACAACCACCCATGGTGCCAAGTTGCCACTGGGGACAGTCTGGTCCAATGGGAGGAGCGGGTGCTTAGCACCTTTGGCCATCAGGCCGTAGATTTTAATTCAGTGGTAACTGTTTGATTCATTGCACTGGCACAGGCTGCCAGATAGCGTGTCTTTATTTCAACTGCTGGGTTTGTCTCTTTAATTTTGATGCCTTCTAGCGGGTAGCTGGATATACATGTACCAACAATAAATCAGAAATAAAATGTTCCATTTCCTCCCTCCTCCTGCTCCGACGGCAGGCTGGAAAGGCTGAGAGAGAGGATTTGATGGGCTGTGGCAGCTGAGGGGAAGGGACTGATGTGAAAATAGCTTCAGACAGCTTCTATGCAAGTGCGCTGCCAAAGATATCATCATTGTTTGTGGATATTAAGAAACAGCTGTCTCAATCTTAGACAAGCAGTAGAGGAAAGTGGATTCTGCTCTGAGACTATAAAATACCCCGCACGGCCCACAGTTGAGGACAGCCTGTTTTGTGTGAACAGAGGTCATCTAAAGAAAACTGGGTTGCAGAAAGACTGTCAGTGCACACCCCGAGTCTGCTCTAAACTACACCATGGCTGCAATGGCCATCTGCTGGTAAGAGACTGGTGAAGCTTGCGAAGCTCTGGCCAGACCCTTTTGGCAGAACCCCTAGCTACCTGTTGAAATCAACTAGGCGGCCTCTTTGCGCTTCTTGAATGGTGGGTCTGCTAAGTGAGCCATCAGTGCAGAGTGAGTGTTTTAAACTAGTTCCCACTAACAGGCCTGTATTCATGCCCGTTCTCAAATGTGACCCTGTTTAGACTTGCCCTACAGCATTACAGTACACAAGGAGCCCTGTTTCCCCTCTACCCTGCCCCATGCATTGTCATTAAGGCTATATTTACACTATGAGCTGTGGGGGTGATTCCCAGCTTGCATATACATACTCTGTGCTAGCTTTCATTGAGCCAGCATGCTAAAAATAGCAGTGTAACCGTGGTAGCACGGGCAGCGGCAGGATGGGCTAGCCGTCCCGAGTCCGTATCCATGGGGCTCAGGGGGCTTTGTATTCGGGGCGGCTAGCAATGGTGCCCATGCTACCGTGGCTACACTATTATTTTTGGTGCGTTAGCTCAGTGACACCAAGCGTGAGTATGTCTACGTGAGCTGGGAATCATGCCCCTTCCTCCACCGTGAAGACGTAGCCTTAGGGAATGTCGACACTTCAAGTTGGAAGCTTAAACTCCAGCTCGAGGAGATATACCCACGCTAGCTCTGATAGTGTTAGCATGCTAAAAATAGAGCGTAGCAGCAGCGGCGCAAGCGGTGGGAGGAGTTTGCTGTCCTGAGCCCAGACCCATCCGAGACACCGGACACATACTCCGGGCAGCTAATCTCTCGCACGGCCATGGATACATTCTATTTGTAGCATGCTGGCTTGATCAGCACTAGTACGGGGCTGTCTCCTCAAGCTAGAATTGATGCCTCTAGCTTGAAATGGAGATACACCCTTACATCTCTGCCACCATGGCGTGGGACACTGCTCTTCTGATCTGGTGGCATTTACTGCCCACTTTGCACAGGAATAAATGACAGCGTGCGGTTTAGGGCAATGGAGAATCAGGCCCGATATTTATAAGACCTGCCCCGGATACAAGTAAACCCGGGACATTACGCTGAAATATTGCACTCTCTTTTGCAAAGATCTTCACTGCATCTGTAACACTAGCTAACAAAGGGGCACCAGATGATAAAGCAGAAGAAGCATCTGAATTGAGAACACCAAGCATGCCCCAGTCTTAAATCATAGTGTCCTTGGTTTTATTTTCTCTCTGCGGGTTGGTGGCTCATCTTTAACATTGTTTTAATGCACTTTGCTGCAATTTTAAGTAAATACTGTGGGACAGGCCTGCTGAGTGAGTGAAAGTCTGAACCCAAGATTAACCAATTTTCTTCAGGAAAAAAACCCCCATAAGAATGTTTTCCTTGTGCTGGTTCCATCT